TGTCAGTTCACTTCAGAGCAGATATTTCAAATGTGTGGCTTACAAATGAGTAACATGAGCTTGATATGAGGACAGCATGTGTCCAGACAGAGTCCTTGAACTAACCTGATCTGAACTCCAGAGATTCCATATGCTGCGTTTAAATGCTCATACCAGTAAAAGCACTGAAGCAATATTCTTAGACATGCTTTGGTTTAGGTCTCAGTGGCATTAATAAATCAAGATGACTTGATGACTACAGAAGGGTGAAACTTAAAAACCAGGCCTTTGCTATTGAAAAAGAATTTATTCTTATTTTGTAAAAAGAATATGTCATAATTTGGGGCTTGTTGCACTTGGCAGCTATAACTGTTAGTTTATTCTTTCTTGAGCACATTTTCAATAAAAAATGTACTGTTTCAAGCATTTCTTCAGAAACAAACTTCAGGCATGACTTTGGACAATGAGCATCTGCTTTCTTATCAGCTTGGATGATGCTAAACTTGGAACATGGTGGCCAAAAGCTGCGTGGGACATCTTGCAGTATGATTGTGTTTTAATCTTTGTCTCAGCAGTCTTCATTGTAATCTTATTTCATTTATGTGGGTATGTAAGTACCAAATTGTCTTTCCTCACACTGAACAAGAGCTTTGAAAAGCTTAGTGTCTTAATAATTCTTTTAAAATGTAACGTTTCAGTTTGAAGATGCTGCTTGAATCCTTGAATCCCTGGTTATTTTTGTAGCTCTGTAACAAATAACTAAGATTTTTACACATCTATTCAAAAGGTGAGTTAAAGTTGACTTTTTTCTTCAAACAGTGAGCAGGAGCAGCTTTGATACTTGATACATCTTTTATTAGTGAAGCAAGGTTTTAATTACCCAATATGCAAAAAAAAAAAAAAAAAGAGCAGCCCATGCTTGTGGAAAAAAGTCATCCAGCTGCTGTGTTCAGAAAAAGACATTAATTTGTATTCTTGCTAGTCAGAAATAACAAAAAAGATAACCACTGGGGATGATGATATGATTTATGTGTGCTTACTAGATGTAGAAGAAAACATAGTTATTACCAACTTTTACCATCTCTTGTAACAAATTTGCATTTTAACAGGACAGTACTTTAAAAATCAGGGGGTGTGCTATATAGAAGTAGCACTTTGGGATCACTGTTTGGCATAAGCAAATGAAGACTGACACCCCACTAAGTGCAGTCTGTGCTTTGCTGAAAAAAAATATAGGCCATGGTAAACACAAAAATAAAGTCCAGCCGGCGGGGCCTAGTGAAAAAATAATACTCTCTCAAGATCATTGTACACAACCACAGTACAGTTGCCATCTACTCTCCTGGCAGTGCTGGAGCCACTGGACTCGGTTTTGATCTCTAGGATTTACTTCCATGTGTCTCAAATCAGGCTGCATGTTTCCTAGGTAATTCCAGGGAAACCTGACCTGCCCTATGATCTTGCTTAGCTCCTGGCAATTAGGACATGAGCACAGTGCATGATGTCAGCAGGGTTATGTAGCTGTATAGCTTGTCAGCTGCAGGGGCAAGAGGACAGATGACAGTGGCTGTTCCTGACTGACAAACAAAAGGAGGTGCAGTTCTGCTCAGTTGCTCCTAAGGGGAGCAGCTGCTGCAGGGAGCAGTCCTACTCTCCTTTCTTTCTTGGTCTGTGTTCCTACCCCTCTTGTTTGTCAGAGTTGGAGAAGGGGTGCCTGCACAAGTTGGATCAGCTAACAAAATTCACCCAGAGCGGTGTTAACTCAGAGATTTATTCCTTTTTCCTAAGAAACAGGGATGGTGGCAGGCAAAACCTTACCTTAACATTGACACAAAGAGTTTTCCTTCTAACATCTCAACATAAGAAGCAAATGTGAATGTATTTCTTGGTTAATCAGAGCATCTATTACCGAATAAACAGTAAGAGTTTAAATATATTCAAATATATCTAACCAGTAGGAGATTAAGTGTCTTTTTTGTTCGGGAAGTTGAATGTTAATTTTACTTATGTCAAAAATGGCACTTATCTTCCCAGTCTGAAATCTCTGCTGGAGACCCTCTTGAAAGTAGTTCAGCTTCTCACTAACCTTTCAAAGCACGTCCACACATTTCTATTCCCAGCTGCAGAGCTAGGATAAAATAGAGGTTGAAGAGCAGTGAACACTTGTAAAATTGTATTTCATAAATCACACCAACATTTTTTTTTCTATGCACTTTCTTTTGCCTTCAAATATCTAGTGGCTTAGCTGTGAATTGAAAGCCTTTAGCATTTTTTAAACTCCTAGTTAAGAAATTTTATAAAAGCTAGTGAGTTTTCCTAGTTGTTGACCACAACACCTGTTATTTAGCATGATAATTCTTCAATATCAATTAGCAGCCCATACAAAATTGCTGTGTTTTCAGGATTTAGAACTGCTACAACAGCTGTATTCAGAACTTTTGGGGTGTTAAACTCTTGGTAATGTGGCATTTTAAAATGCATAACACTTATCTTTGTTTTATTCGTGATAATGATGTCTGTGCAAATGTCAGAGGGAAAAGATCTCTTAAAGTCAGATTCCAGGCACTGAATTTTAATGTTTACCCTGCATTCTCCAGCATAGTTAAAACAAATGATTCCTGTGGTTTTTGAAGTTGCAAATGTCAGTTACCCAGCTTGTTCTGCCATTTCCAACACACTGTAATGCACAAACTATAATTGCAGACAATACTTACTGGTTTTATTTAGCTTGACAGAAACAATAAACTGGACTTTATCATAAATACTAATTCATCCAAATGGAAAATGCTGGTAATACTGAATTCTATTTACCCTTCTGTCCAGTGCAAGGGATGTATTCATGTAGAAACGTATTTGCCACCCCCCTAGAAAAAAATAGGTTAATGCTGTATTTGTTTCAAGGAAAGGTTTGCAAATCATACAGGTCCTTAAAGGTGGCAGATGGAGTCAAGAAGATAAAAGAAACCAGGAGGCTGCACTGGGCTGTCTCTCTCCTGGTTGCACAGTCAAAAAACTTGGAATGAGAGAGCTGAGGTCATGAAATATGTGATTCTGAGTTATAGGCCATCTTAACATACCTGCTTCTACAGCTTGGTCACAGTGTTGTAGATCCTTTATTCACTAGCTCAAAGACACTAAAAATTTGGTTTGAAGAAGGTCAACAGACAAGACAGAATCCTTTCCTTTTGCCAGGTTTTATTTCAACCTGAGATGCTGCTCCAGCTGGTAAGGAAGAACTGCGAGCATCAGGCTCTTTGGAGAGGGATGCACTCCACTCTTGCGGTGGGAGGCCAGGATATCTGGCACTTTGCATGTGATTCTGCACTGAAAGGGAATTCCACCATCCCACCTTGCAGGTCCTCCACAGTGTAGAGGTAAGAACGTTGCATGATCTATCCCCCAGTGTTAACAACTCCTCCCTATTAATGAGGGTTAAAAAGGGTGCACTTCATCAACTAGAACTCCTTAAGGAAAACCAGACTTCTCACTGCAAGATTTCTGAGGTTAAATAACTGAGTTAAAAGGCAAATACTTCAAGGAGTAGTTCATTACAAACTATCAGAGTTAACAGTATTATATGAAAAGCAGAAAACAAATACTTAGCAGGTAGGTGGAGACACTTCTGTCATGGCTTCTGTATCACAGACTATGTAACAGGTATATGCAGTGTGTTTCCAAGATAAACAATAAACATACTCTTTAGCTCTTAAGGAGCAGGTAGTCTGTGCTTTTGACTTCTATATTCTTTGTTTTTAAATCAAGATGTGCTAATTTGTGCTCCTTATCTCATATGACTTTTGCAACAGGCAGCATTACTGGTTCCATGTTTCTCTACAACAGCTGAAGAAAATGTCAAATACAAAGAAATGCACTGCCCTCCTGATAGAAGTTAGCTCATCATGTAAATGGTGAAACAGAGAACGTTGACCCTGTTCTATTAGAATGTAAGATAGTGCATTAACACTCCAGACTTCTAATTAATCTCATGTGTCTCATCCTCTTGATTATAGCTGAGTAGACCATTCTTCCAGCTTAAATCAACAGCTGTCCAGTATTAACACTTAATCAGTCAGCACTGCTCCTTGTGCACCTAGATGAGCGTTTCAAAAGTAGATTTCAAAAATATTCAAAAACATCCTTGCACGTGAACTACACTTTTATTGTGTGAATACTTAAAAAAACACAGAACATTCTAAGAACTGAATAACACTCTGCACTGTTTATGCTATTTTCTCATGCAAAGAGCACAGAACAGTACTAATTATGGTTCCTTTCTTCTATAACATGCACAAAGTATGTAACAGAAACTAATTACAATTCTCATCAAAATTTTACAGCTCTACTGAAATGGGAATTCCAAAACTTTTTAATGCATGTACAAAATTTATGATTATACAATTTAATCTGATATCACTTCTCACATAAAACGTGTGTATCACTGAACAACTACAATAGGAAGAAACATTTAAACTACTTAATTTTTATTTCAACTTTTAGACCATGTTTTAAGAGGAATACTGCAAATAGATTGAAGCCATTGAGTCAACAGTGCTGACCCCATAGAATCTTACTGTAATAGCATCTCTCAGCTTTCAGGCATCTGAAATTCAAACCAAACTGAGCTTTTCTTACTATCAAAAGCCAATGTAATAAATTCTTTCTAGAGAAAGACACAGTATGTCATTCTCAAAAATAACCATCTTAAGGCAATATGCCACTGCTACAGGCTGCACACAAACCACAGCTGTTTTTCCCCTGGCCAGTTGTGTTTTCTAAAATGTAAGAGAGAAATCTCAGTGACAAAAGAAAAACAGTATACCAGTATGTATTCAGACGAGAATGGGATAGAAATTTAATCTAGGATCTACAGACTCTAAACAAACTCTGTATATAATGTTTCTATTTTTCATAAAAGGTATTCCCTTTTTCAGTTCACACTACAGACAAACAGCAACAGACTGTTACACTGATTCTTCAGTTATCTATAAAACTGTGGAAAAATAAAACTGAAGTCGAACTGAATTTGTTACATTGCATTACTGGACTTTCAAACCACAAGTATCAGTAGGGATGGTAACGAGGCCCTGGGTTGTAGGAGTTGTAGCCATATTGTCCATAGTGGGAGTAGGATTGTCCTTGTCTGGGCTGCTGGTAGTTATTACCCCAACTTCTTTCTGGCCTCTGATTGTATCTATAGTCACCTTGCCAGTTGTATCTGTCCCCTCTAAAGTATCTACCATCTTGAAACCTGCAAGAAAAAGAAATGTCAAAGATTCACATATATAATTAGTTTTTTAAAAGATGAATGATAATCAACCCTTACTTTTCACAAATCTCATTCAAACTGTTATGTAACTGTTTGTACTCTCAATTACTTACCTGTTTTTATTATAAAGTTATGGAACAGTCATCTGAGATAATTAATTAATTTCTCATTACTACCCAGCCCACTGTTTGCTAAGCTTTGGAAGGACAGTCTGCTTCTTAACACAAAGTATTCACAGGCACTAGATGAACTGCTGGAACTTTGAATAAAGACTCTAACAGCCCATATAACTAAAAAGTAACCAGGAGATACATCTGGAGCTGTATCAAAGCCAGGTTCATTAGTGGCTTCATGGCTGAAACCTGTGGCAAAGCAGGCTTAAGTACAATTTAGCTCCCTAACAGCACAGAGTCCTGGAATTTGCATATTCTCTAAGATGCATATTATTGCTGCTTCGTGGTCTTCTGTAGATTCCCATACTCTAGACAGTATCTTATCAGTGGTATTTACCCATTGTTCAGTCTACATTTTGGCTTTTCAGCTGTACCTCAACTCCTGTCAACACCTGAGCTGCCTCACAGTTGTTTCCTTGGGATATCTCAATGGTGCAATGTAGACATCATTTACATGGGGTTCACTTTGTGACCAGAGCATTAAGAGTTCATTAGTTCAAAGAGCCACAAAGTTTGTAAGAGCATCTCCTTAAAGAATTACCCATTTTTAAAATATGTAGAACCTGATTCTATGTTTAATTTAATACAAGCTTCTAGGGTGAGAAAAAGATAGAATGTTGTCCTTTTCTTCAGATAAGGCACAAATCCAATTTGCATGTTTAGCTAAGAAGTCTTCACAATTGTTATTTGGACTGAAGTTAACTACTTTACCTTTAAAGGCTGATATTATTACCAAACATTATTATATGCTGTAATAATTAGTTTTCACTCACACAAAAATCAGATGTTACTGTACAGAATTTGGAAAAAAATCTGCAGTTACATGCTGAAGAAATAACTCAAAATATTTTGCAGCAGGCAGGTAACACTACACTTGTTAACAGACTGGATGATGGATTTTACAGTCATTTCTACTAAATAAAAGAAATACAGGCTAATCTAACAAAGCACAGCAAATATTTATGTTACAAATGAAACATTTTTATGGACAGATAGCAACAGATAATCATGCTATTACTGAATCACAGAATTACCAAGGCTGGGAAAGACCATTAAGATCATCAAGTCCAGGCTATGACCAAAACCACCACACCAGCTAGATCATGGCACTAAGTGCCACATCCAGCCTTTCCTTGCACATTTTCCTGCCTGTTATTATTAAACAGAACATAGGCTGCTTAGTTTTGCTGAACTCTCATCATTCCCCTCTGGAAAATTGTTCTTGGCTGAGCAGTAACAAACCCAAAGGCAATGGGTTTGGTGGTTCCAAGTTATTCCTTACTAAAAAGCAAATTACTTAATACTTTTATACACAATACAAAAACTTTGACAAACAATACAGAAAAAAAATGTAAAACCTCATTACTTTTCAGAGAAGACTATTTAGCTTAAATATAGTTACCTATGAAATAACAAGATGATACTTCTATTAACAGAACAAACCGAAATAAATGACTGGTTAACTACATATTTGTGAAACTACCAACATTAATTTTTAAAAAAGACATCAGTACCGATCTCTGTTTCTCTGGTTGCCACCAGATCTGTTTCTCCATTCTTCAATTATAGGAGGGGCATCTGCAGGGCGCTTCAGGTATTCTTGGAATTCTTCATCATCTGCTGTGAATCGATGAGCAAACATCTTCTCATAATCCAGGGGCATGTCAGCCAAGGAAGTCATTCTGAAATCTTTAAACATTGAACATGATAAAAGTGGATTTACCAATGCATGAAGGCTCTTACTATAATAGCTACCAAAATGCAGTTAGGGCAAATGAAGGACAGTGAAAAGTTACGCTCATATTAACACAGCAGTTCAGTTTTGGGCAAACACATAGATGGCTGACTCTTAAGTCTTGGTGATCTAAGACTGTAAATAACTCTCCTGGCTAGGTTATCTCTAGTGGAAAGCAATTCCAATTTGGGTATCTATACTGGATATGCAGACACTCATCTGTCTAGACACTGGGAGTGGTTTTCAAGAACTCCATCCAGGTGGGAGAAATTCAGCTCAGATCAATACCTAATATAGCCAGTCACTAGACAGCAGCACCTTGAATCCATTTTGATAGACCTCGATTAGATGAGCTGTGGTACAAACATATGGGACATTGCTGAGGGTTAGGAGAAGTATTTCTTCATAATAATAATTCACATTCTACTCCTAATCCATTTTTGACAGGAAAAATGTTACTATCACCAACTTGAAAAGTTTGCTAAGGTAGAATATAATGCAAAGGTTACAGATACACATAGCCAGCCCAGCAAAATAATCAGATTTATCCACAATAATTTATATATTAATAGCTTGATTCAGGGGAGAGCACCTAAGAGAATGTTAAATTATTCCACAATATCCTCTCTGATGGGATTTGTGTTTAAGACCTTAGTTTCCTTATTTACTTGGCTATAAAAGCATTTGCCCTTCAGACAGTGCTATCCAATGCTGTCCATCAGCAGCAGTCTGGCCCTAATAGCAGGTGCTAAGAAAGGCTCTGCCTACTGCCTTAATGAGCCCTGGGTAATTTAGAGCATTAAAGGTCTTTGCCTTTAGACTTCCAGATTATGGTCTTCTGCTGTCTCCTGAAGATTTGTAGGCAGTACCACTAATCACCTTGCAAAGCAGAGGGAAGGAAGGAGGCAACAGGCTTTTCCTGGACACCGGGAGCTGTAATACACACACACAGCCACCGTGCCCACGTCCTCCCCCACGCTGTACACACGAGCGACCTGGGACGAGGGTGAGTTAGTGGGATGTTTATGGAGCACACAGCACAGTGCTCGTTCTGCAGGCTGAACTCCCCTTTCGTCAGCTGCAGGAAGCGTAGTGTCTGGTGATCTCCGGCCTTCCACCTAACGACGCAGCTGAAACCTTTCTGAAGCAGGTGTGGGAGTCACTCCGGCGGGGCGCCCAGCCACCTCATCCTCCCTTTCTGCACCGCGCTGCCCTCGCTGGTTTCCACCACGAGCTCTCTCCGAGGCCCTCTGCTCCTCAGGGGGGGCAAGAGGCGGAAATACCGCGGCCGTGGGGCACCTACTGCAGCCTGGGAGCTGCAACGCTCGCGATTCAGAGCGTTAACACCAGCACTCACCCTGCCGGGCCCGCAGCAGCGGCCGCGCCTGCCCCCAGCAAGCCCCCCGCAGGGGGCTCGGCCCGGGGCCCGTTCCCCCACCGCGGGGGGCCC